TAAACTATAGATATATGTGTAAACTATAGATATATGTATAAACTATAGATATATGTGTAAACTATAGATATATGTATAAACTATAGATATATGTGTAAACTATAGATATATGTACTGTATGATAAATTAAAGGGATTAAATCAGACACATGATGTCATTAACTGTAGTTTGTCCACTGAAAGAGGAGATTTAGTTGTGTTATAGTTGTAGGTGTCATGCAGACGGACATGTTCATGAAAATTATCTTAAAAGTCCTCAGATTTATCTGACTCAGCGTCCTCATGGTCTCTGTCTTTAAGGACAAAACTTTATTGCCATTCAGCAGAAACAAATCACCTCATGCAGACGTGTGCTGAGCTCTGATTGGATGTCACTGCTGCTCATAAACGAATAATTGCACATTTACAGGTTTGACCCTGGTCACAGATACTGGATCAGCTCCTGGTTACTGTTCACTGTCTCTGATGTAGTTCACCTATCAAAGTACATCAAAAAATACATGTTACTTTGTCACATGTGGGAAAATTCACAATTTAGGAAATATGAGCCAAGTTCAGAGGTTACTTGGTCACATGAAAAATGTGATAAAAGAATCAAAATAAAGTATAAAATAAAACAATGTTTTTTACTACTGGCAGAAAACGACATGTAATTTATTTATATAAATGTGAATCTTCCTCTATGCTTGTTTTGAACTTCTATTATCATGAAACGTTATTATATTTACTGTTAGTAGTGTTATCATCATTATTATAATTGTCTCTCCTCTTGTTCTTCATGTAAATTTCATCTTATTTTCATCTCAGTTGAAAATCTTTCCATAAATAAATCTTGTCCTGTTCTCATGCTGTACTCTTCTTCCTCCTCCTCTTCCTCAGGTCTGGGTTACTCCTCCATGGTGATTGTGTTTTTCTGCAACACTTACTACATCATGGTGCTGGCCTGGGGCTTCTACTACCTGATCAAGTCCTTTAACTCCACCCTCCCCTGGTCCACCTGCGACAACGAATGGAACACGCCCAGCTGCATCGAGATCTTCCGTCACCAGGACTGCAACAACGGCAGCATCGGCAACTTGACCGTCAGCGGCAATATGACTTGCGCCGAGCTGGCCAACGCCCAGTCGCCCATCATCGAGTTCTGGGAGTGAGTTCTGCTCTGGTCGGGTTCTGGTTGGTGGGTCATCTGGGTTGTGTTAAGGGATTATGGGTAGTTTTTCTTTGGGTTGTGATGGAGATCAGACAGATGATGTTGGTTTGATGAGTGCAGATCATTTTGGGACATTCGGGTTGTAATGGCTTTGTTGGAATCGCTTTTTATGGGTTCAGGTTTGGTTGATTTTTCAAATTTCTGGTGGAATCTTTGCTGTAAGGTCACAGGATACTTGTTGCTGTGAGTTTTTTTACAGTCTGGTTATTTGCTGGAACCACGAATGGAAGACGGAGGCCAGACTTACTGCAGCTTTTTGTGTTTTTTCAGGTGCAGATTTGATGCATTTTGCCTCAAAACACATTGCCAAGAACGTCTCTCTTCTTATTTTGTGCATGCATTTAATGTGAGGAGACATGTTGGCAGAGATTGATTATGTATTCTGCTGGAACTAATACGGTTACACTATCTGTGATTCTCTACCTCTGAAAATAAGTCATAATATAGGATTTACATCAGGAAAGGAAGTAGAAGGAAAAATAAAAGTCCCCTTTGTTTGAAATCTGTATGACAGATAAACTGTAGATAAAATGTAGTCACCACATCCAGAGCACTGGAAATACATAAAGTAATTAACATTTTGATAAGAAATGTATTTAATGACTGCATGTCCGATGACTCAGCAGGTTCTGAAATGACACGAACATTTATGTTTAGTCTTCAAATAAGTTTCTGACTTGTAGGTCAAGAATAACTCTGGAGGCTGCATTCTCTCTACTGACCACCAGGGGGCGACTCCTCTGGTTGTATAGAAGTCTATGAGAAAATGACTCTACTTCTCTCTTGATTTATTACCTCAGTAAACATTGTAAACATGAGTTTATGGTCTCAATCTCTAGTTTCAAGTCTTCTTCAATACAGCATGATGTTCATTTAGTACATTATGGTCCATTTAGAGTCACACAGACCATAAAGCAGGGGATGCTTTAGGGCGGGGCTACACAGTGATTGACAGGTCTCTACCAGAGAAACTTTAACCCTTTCAAAGTCTTTTCTCTTCATCAAAGTTAATTGTAACATTTTGGTTCCTGAGAATGTTTTATTCATCGTTCACTTCTGCTTAGTCTGGTTGGAAAAAAACAAGATGGCGACTGACATTATGCTCAACTTTAAAAAGAAGTGAGTTTATGTGTGTGTTAAAGGAGAGCAAACTGTCCAGCCAGATACCCAAATGCTTAAAGGATTCCACAACCTGGAGTTCTGATCCATCCAGAGAGGAGATTTGAGAGGGCAGGCAGTTTGTGTTAAGTGTCTGTTAAAAACCATACATTTAGTTTTGGTCATGTTTAAGTGAAGGTGACGGTTAGAGAATGTTGGATACTGTTGAAGCTGAACTGCAGGGAAGTCAGGGCAGAGTTCAGGGAGGAGCTAGATATGAACAAGATGGTGTCGTCGGCATACAAATGGATGTGAGAGCCGCCTGCAACGTTGTTTATGTAGAATTGTTTTAATAAGTTGGGCCTAGAATGGACCCCATAGGAACACCTTTGGACAGGGACGGTGGGTCAGATGGGTCATCCTCAGCTCTCACAGATTCTGAGCCTGAACCTGAGATTTGTTTGCCAGACTGATCCTTTAATTCTTGGTCAGAAAATGTGTAATGTTTATATGTGATTTGGTTCTTAGTCAGGTACAGAGGAACGTCTTGTCTGGGTTCCTGTTTCTTTCTTTGTCATTATTTGACACCTGACTGATCTGACCAGCTGCCTTCTGTTCCTCTCTGAAGCCCACTAGTGCTCAGCAGCTCATTTCTCCTCTTTTACATCATATTAATTGTCAAACACAGCTTCATTTCTACTGTGTATTTGGGGGAGTGTTTGCTTTGAGTGACATTGATCTCAGTCAGTAGTCATTTCTCTGAGCAGCAGTGAGGATTGTGTTGTCATGGCAGCTTGTTAACACAACGAGCAGTTATTGAGGTGAAAATGTTCATTATGTGGAGTCCGATCAGCAGTCAGGTCAAGTGATTGTTAAAGACTGTAAATTAATTATTGAACTTTCTGATTCCTTTTATATTTGGACGTTTACATACAGTGGTTCTAGCCTCTGGACCAAACTGAAATAACAATTGAATGATAATAATATTATTACAATGTCCCTGATGTTGGTTCTGTTGATTGGTTCTGCTGTTATTGTCATTAATTGTGCATTAACTTGTCTTGAACACAAAGAAACACACAAAAACTCAACAGAAAGAAATGAAGGTCATGTTTGTATTTGTTATATTCACAATAACGGTTTTCATTAACCTGATAAAATGATCATGTCGATGTAAACGTGGTCCTCTCTCTCTCTCTCTCTGTGCAGGAGAAAGGTGCTGAACATTTCATCTGGTCTGGGTGATACCGGAGAGTTTAACTGGGAGCTTGCTTTGTGTCTGATGGCCGTCTGGGTGATGGTTTACTTCTGCGTCTGGAAGGGAGTCAAATCCACCGGAAAGGTAACGCACACAAACACACTTTTCAGTGCAGTTTGTTGTCATGTTTTGAACATGAAATCTTTTAACACACTCGTGAGCTGGTTCCAGTGATTCAAATTGGTCTGGTGGTGTTCCCATTATTAATAATACAAACACAATGATTACAGAATACAACTAAATCCTTTAGAATATATAACTTTTAACTAGAATATGAAGCTTTTTGTTTTGGCAGATCGCCTCCAAATAGAGTTGTCTGTTAAAGCGTTAATAAAAACACTAACCCTTTCTGAAATGATAAGTTCATGAGGACCGGACGGGAGTCCCCACAATGTGTGTAATCAGGTTTCATAAAACACTACAAGAAAGATTAGATTATTATTATTGTTCCGTCTGAACCCAAAACAAAATTGTGACCTTGTGGGTTATCACTCTGACAGTGTCATATATCCTGGAAAATAGTGAATTTGTTTTAATTCAGGCTGTTTTAATACATACGTGTAAATAATAATAGTTACAAATTAAATAACAAATACCTCAAGTTGCCAACATTTTACATGTCGTTATGTTTATTTATTTTGTTTTCTGCTTAATATTGTTTTTAATTACGTTTCGTCAGATCTTTGTGATTCAAAAATGTTTATTATATTTAATTAATTAATTAATAATTTACTATATTTTTAATTATATTATTATATTATATTACTATATTACTATAATTATTAAATTATCCCATGAGGGACCAGATGGGAGCTTAGTCCCCATAATGACAGTGTGTTAATGGGTCCCCACAACGTCATGTATACCAGAACACACGTCCGGCTGCCGGCGTCATGCTGACTGTCTACTTATGAAGCTAACAGCTGACAGCAGGTCACCTGACAGCTTCCATATGGCCACATCACGTCAATGACAGAGAAGAAGAAGCTCGGCGGTTAGAGTCCCCCTAATCTTTTATTTAAACGCTGCCCACATTAAAGCAGAAGAAGAAGACTCATATTATTTGGGGTTATTTGGGGGGCAGCTGTTGTTCTCCGGTGATGGGGCTGAAGAAATGAGTGGCTGTTCCTTTAAGAGTTCAACCTTCAAACGTAAAGAGAAGACGCTGTGATTCACTGTGTGTGTGTGTGTGTGTGTGTGTGTGTGTGTGAGGTGAGTACACACTGCCGTCACATGGCAGGCTCTAAGCGTCGCCATGACTACGACAGGGGAGGAGGAGGAGGAGGAGGAGGAGGGGGAGGGGAGGAGAGGAGCTGTGAGGTGGCGGCTTGTGATTGGTCGGCGTGTGGGAGGGCAGCTTCACTGCAGTGGGACGTGACTGAGAGTCACAGAGAGAAGTACCAGTATGTGTGTACTCTGTGTACTGTATGAACTGTATGTAGTGTATGTACTGTGTGATGTTTGTGTACTGTGTGTGTACTCTGCTTGTAATATGTGTACTGTGTGTCTTCTTTGTGTGCTATGTGTGTACTGTATGTGTACTGTGTGTACTTAGTACTTTGTAGTTCATTCTAAATTCAGAATGTTGGAACAATGAAAAAACAAATCACTGTATTGAGCTAGTTTTAGTTGAAGTCTTTAATCAAATCTCATTAATGCCAGACTCACACACTCGCACTCACACACTCGCACTCACACACTCACACGCACACTTTCTCACACACACTCACACGCACACTTTCTCACACACACACACACACACTCACACACACACGCATCACAATTATAGTTGTCTCAACTTTTTTGCCACATACGAGTACAGAGTACTATACCTTTAAGTACTTTACTTAATATATTAATACTCTTTACACATATACATTTACTACAATTCAACCGTTTAATTTCCACCATCTGAAGTAAAGTGTGTGTGTGTGTGTGTGTGTGTGTGTGTGTGTGTGTGTGTGTGTG